TTGGGGCAGTTTTTTGGTCTCGCAGTTAAATCACTATCTGTGATGCCTATGTCCCATTTGGGGTGCTTGGGTTTGAGTATCATCTCCACTCCCATTTCTAGCTTCCTTCTAAGGCACACTCTGGGTGGTAGCAAGTAATAGCTTAAGTTAAGTAGTTGAGTCCCTGCCCCTTGTGGGGGAGACCTGTTTCTGACCCTCCCCTGAGCTGGCCAAGTGGCACTCAGGGAGTGAACCAGAAGTTGGGAGCTCTCCCTCTGTGTGTGTGTCTGCCTGTCTCTCACATAAATAAATAAACACATATCTTTAAGAATTGTATTTGTATTGTGGATTACATGGAAGATGGGGAATAAGGGAACTCTTTTGCCTAGAAGTTGCCTTTGGTGATAATGAGGAGGAAAATGTGCTGGTCTAATCAATGTGAATGGGGTCCTAGGTGCGCTTACAGTTTGTTCACAGCCTTCAAGCTTAAAGTTCACAACCACTCAAAGCAGAGACATAGAAAACCACAAACTGCATGCTAATTATTTTATTGGTACTTGGAAGACAGAATTATGCCAACATTGTTCCAATGTTCTGAAGGAAGTCTTCTTGTTATCATCTTATTCACTTTCTGAAAGAGACAAACAAACAAGATGTTCATAGGGAGGATTCATCTTGGCAGAAAATTGTGGATCCCTGTTGGTTTTAATGAAGTAAATACAGAAACCACCATCCCTGCGCATTCTACTTCACCGTCCCCCTTTTCTGTCTTCATACCTCCTTGTTCACTCTAACATGCACCTAGCAGATCACATCTTGCAAATTGTGTTTTACAAATGAAAAAAAGTAGACTCATCTTAGATTGCTTATCTTTTAGTTGATATTGAAAATGTTCAAGGATATATTTACAGTGATGCTTACTGCAACATATCCCATAATAATGAAAAACTTAAGCCAGCCTAAGTGTCCATTGATAGGGTGTTTGTTAAAGAAAACATAACACAGTCCTATGATGCAATAGTATACAACTGTAAACACAAACAAAAAGAACCAATGAGCAACAGCGGGGTCGGTGTTGTGGTACAGTGGGTATTTAAGCCTTAGTCTGAGATGCTGGCATCCCATCTGAGCACTGGTATGAGTCCTAGCTGCTGCACTTCTGATCCAGCTCTGTGCTAATGTACCTGGAAAGCAGTGGAAGATGGCTAAAGTGCTAAAACCCACGTGGGAGGGCCCAGATGGAGTTCCAGGCTCCTGGCGGCAGTCTCACCCCCAACTGTTGCAGCCATTTGGGGAGCACATCAGATTTCTCTCTCTTTCTCTTTCTCACCTGCCTCTATCCCCTTGTACCTCTGTCTTTCTAATAAATAAGTCAAACTTAAAAAAATGAACATCAGCAAGAAATCATGGAAAAGATCTATTAATTGATATGGAGCCTTAGCCTGTTGAGCCGCGGTGCTGGCCTTTCTCTCTTATTTTTAACAGGGATAAATTTTCAGTTGAATTTAGACTCCTAAGAACAATTGTGTGTTAGCCAGCGCCGCGGCTCACTAGGCTAATCCTCCGCCTTGCGGCGCTGGCACCCCGGGTTCTAGTCCCGGTTGGGGTGCTGGATTCTGTCCCGGTTGCCCCTCTTCCAGACCAGCTCTTTGCTGTGGCCAGGGAGTGCAGTGGAGGATGGCCCAAGTACTTGGCCCTGCACCCGCATGGGAGACCAGGATAAGTACCTGGCTCCTGCCATCCGATCAGCGTGGTGTGCCGGCCACAGCGCGCTGGCCGCGACGGCCATTGGAGGGTGAACCAACGGCAAAGGAAGACCTTTCTCTCTGTCTCTCTCTCTCACTGTCCACTCTGCCTGTCAAAAAAAAAAAAAGAATAATTGTGTGTTAATTAAACAGTTCAACCAATGGTATTAAGTAGAACAAGAAAATACTAAAAAGATAAATAGTAAGCTGTTCCTTAACAGTCAGGACAAAGACTGATCAAGTCATTGTTTCTTATAGTGTCTGTTTTACCTCTACATGTTTCCTTTTAGGTGCTCAGTTAGTTGTCACAGATCAGGGAAGACATATATTTGTGCCTTTGGGACTGGCTTATTTCACTCAGCATGATGTTTTCCAGATTCATCCATTTTGTTGCAAGTGACTGGATTTCATTGTTCTTTATGGCTCTATAGTATTCCATACAGCACATATCCCATAATTTCTTTATCCAGCCTTCTGTTTATGAGCATTTAGGTTGATTCCATGTCTTCGCTATTGTGAATTGAGCTGCAATAAGCATTGAGGTGCAGATAGCTCTTTTATTTGCCAATGTAATTTCCTTTTTGTAATTCTGAGGAATGGGATGGCTGGGTCATGTAGTAGGGCTATATTCAGGTTTCTGAGAATCTCCAAACTGTCTTCCATAGTGGCTTTACCAGTTTTCATTCCCACCAACAGTGAGTTAGTGTCCCTTTTTCCCCACATCCACGCCAGCATCTGTTGTTGGTAGATTTCTGTATGTGAGCCATTCTAACTGGGGTGAGGTGAAACCTCATTGTGGTTTTGATTTGCATTTCCCTGATGGCTAGTGATGCTGAGCATTTTTTCATGTGCCTGTTGGCCATTTGGATTTCCTCTTTTGAAAAATGTCTATTGAAGTCCTTGGCCCATCTCTTAAGTGGGTTGTTTGTTTTGTTGTTGCAGAGTCTTGATCTCTTTTAGATTCTGGTTATTAATCCTTGCTCAGTTGAATAATTTGCCAATATTTTTCCCATTCTGTCTGTTGCCTCTTCACTTTTCTTACTGTTTCCTTTGTTGTACAGAAACTTCTCAATTTGATGTAATCCCAATAGTTAATTTTGGCTTTGACTGCCTGTGCCTCTGGGGTCTTTTCCAAGAAGTCTTTGACTGTGCCTATATCTTGCATGGTTTCTCCAATGTTCCCTAATAATTTGATGATGTCAGGTCATAGTTTTAGATCTTTAATTCTGCCTCCTTCATAAAACCTAGCCACTGCACCCACAATTTGTTTAAGAATGGTGGGGATGCATATAGAGAGAATAGAATAATATTTAGGAAGCAATGGGGCAGGGTGTGTCCTAGGAAGATGAGGCCCAGATCCAAATTAATTGCTGCAGGACCCATGATCTATTATTTTGGGAACGATAGGGATTTCTTTAGTTCAGCATCTTCCTCCATTCCATTATATTCTCCCCGTTTCCCTAAAATTATTGAAATGTGAAAATGATGAGAATTTTCGTTTGTGGTGGTGTAGAATCCAGGGAAGGGGAGAAACAAGAGAATTATTTCATTTGAGAGTTGATTTGATTCCATAAAGGAGAAACTAACTTTGCTGGAAACATCCGTGGGAAGGGGTCCTGAATGCTCTCCCATTGTGTTCATGTCCTGTAAGTGAGAGATTCACATATAACCAAAATCAGAGACGAGGGCCATGAGAAATTGCATGCTGATTATTTTATTGGTACTTGGAACATAGGGTTGTCACATCATGGTTCCAAAGTCATGGATCTTAAAGGACATTATCTTCTTATTCACTTTCTGAAACAAAGAAACAAAGAAGGAAGTTTGTTGAGGGGACTTGAGAGGGGAAGAAGATGAGGATCCCTAATTAGCTTTACTGAAACGAGGTAGGTGAGGGCCTGCCTTCTCTCCCTTTCAAACTTAGGTCCATTCTGTTGACAGTAGTCTGCATTTACTCTTTCTGTGCACCTAACAGCTCAGGTGTTCTAAATTATCCTTTACAAGATGAAGAAAGAGATTTTTTTTACTGTTATCATTTGATTGGTGTTGAAAAGTTTAGGAAATTTTACAAACATGGTCAGTGCAACATATTATATCATCTGAAAGGGAGAAAACCAGTGCAGTACACTGACATGATGTTCCTTAAGGAAATTCTGGTATAGCATACAATGGGAAAATATGCTATGTGAAAAAAAAGGCCCAACAGAACAATCACATCAGAAAACTGCCCATATCTATATACATCTACATACATCTGTGAACAGATATTTACATTGTATAATAAATATATTATTGGACATGAGAAAAGCACAACTTGGTATATTTGGTATAATACTGCTTGTGAAGAAAGATCACTTTTTGTTTATATGGAAATATATATATCCATAAGGATATTTAAAAATGTTATTTTTTGTGTTCTTTGGCTTGTGATATGTGTAAGTAGAATGATATATGCTTTTAAGATAAATGACTTAAGATCATGCCTTTATGCTGAATTTTTTAAACGTAGAATAGAGATTAACTTAATAGTAGAATAAAAATCTAGATAACTTTTAACGGCATTCAGAGAAGATGTTATTTATCTGCAATAATGGACCTGATAGTTCTCATATGGAACAGGCAAGAACATAGTGTGCTCTAGTAGACCTTTGAAGGGAAGTCATTGAGTCTGAGCCCAGGAGGCAGAAGACCAAAGGAAGAATTCTACTGTATGTCCACATTAGCAACATAATCTCACAAAAATATTCATTGTTATAAAAGAAAATTTTGTGGCAACCATTCTCAAATTCAGAATCCCTGGAGATCTTATTAAATAACAGCATCTTGCCATGCTATTTTAGAATATCTGAGTAGAAATCTTAAAAGTAGAGCCCAGGATTAAATCATTTCAATACACTTCAGGTAGATTCATGGCATACTTTAGTTAGAGAAGGAAAAAACATTAGGGTTTGATGGAGAATGAACTTGACTCTTACGTGTCATTTCTTATAGAATGATTGGGGTGCTTATCTAGGGGAAGGCTTTGCTCTAGTTCCTTGAAAAGGTGATTGTGTTCCTCTTTGGCCTCCTTGTTGGGGTGCTCGCTGTTGGGCTGCTCCCTGTGCCCACCCCTACCACGGTGGGTTGCTCCCTGTGGGCATTTTTGGATACTCCCTTTTTGCTTCTTTTTAGGGTGACCCCTTTTGATTCTTTATTGGAGTTGGCCCCCATGCTCAGTTGTTTTTTTGCTTTCTAGAGGTTTCTGGACAGCCTTTCCCGGAGGTCATTATGGCTAACCTTCTTCCTTTTGTGGACGAGGGGGTTTAGTGCCCTTCGGTGGAGGTGGTGTGCCCTTCTGTGGAGGTGGTGGTCGGTGGTGGTTTCCATGAGGAGGTGGGCGAGTTTGGTTGTGGTGGCCTCCTGGACGTGGTGGTCTGTGCTGTGGACGATCTTCTTGGCTGTCATCATCGTTCTGTGTTGCAGCTAGGCTCTCGTCTAGGTTCTCATACTCTGCATGGGTCATACAGGAATAGAAGAGTTTAGTGACTGAAGATTGCCGTTCATTGTCACCCCCTGAGCTGTTCACATGTCACTTACTCTGCAAACTTGTATCCCCCTGCCACATTCCCTCATCCACACTGCTTCCTTGTGAACCACTCCTCTTAGGAACACACTGAGGTCATGGAAGGCTCATTTCTTTGCTTCTCACAAAAGTATGTTGTTTAACATTAGGGCCACCGGGGAGCACTGGGATACCTTAGAATCATCGAGAGTAACTCCATGTATAGCTGGTAGCAAACATCATTTATATTGCAGTTTTTACTATGAGCTATTTGTACAACTTGAGAGATTTTCCTCCTAGTTTGAGTTCTTGAGTCCTGTGTTGAAAATAGGGTTTGTTTCTCAGGTCTCAGACACATGTTGAGAAATAGGAAGAGAGAGAAGAGAAAGACAGCGTGATGTGCAGACAGGATTCACTGAATTGCTTTTTAAAGTTGCTTCAGCTGGGGGACCCCACGGACTGCACAACCAGGGGAAATGGGACTGAGTCACTGCTTTCTTTGTGTTTCTCCTGGAAGCCAGGTGCCTTCGAGGGAAACACTGGAGGAAGGGAAACTAACTGGGACTCAGAGAAATGGAGGAAGAGCGATTGTACAGGACTCAGTAGTCTGTTAGCTGTCAGGAGGTATGCTGGGCCTGGCTGAACTGGTTTAGAGCTGCTGTAACTGAGTCTGAAGTCACTGGTATTCTACTTGTTGTTTTGGTCATTGTCCCGAATCAAGTTTGTGGATGGCTTGCATATAAATTTAGGCCTTGTAAATCCATTAAGTCATATAAAAATTGATGTTATGAAGTCAGTGGCAAATAAATATTACTGGTGAAAAATGTTATTTGAATATTCAATAGGAATTGATTGTGTGCGTTACCTGAATTTATGCTGAGATAATCTTCATAACTGTCATCTAGTTGGAGAAACACACAAGAAAGTCTGGTTAAGTCTAGATCTCTGGTGGCTGGCCATTGTGCTATATGAGCCGGTCCCTCTTACCAAAGCTTGAACATCCCTTAGGATTCATCTCTACCCACTCTCTGTTTTGCTGTTGCAAAGGGGCAGGTAGTGGCAGGGCTGTTTCTTGGGTGAGGATTAACTAGGACCTCCTGATGCAAAAGCTCTGTTTTGTCTTCCCTGTTATCTCTCATCCTCACTGCTATTTTAGGCAATATATTCTGGGATATTCAACTAATGTCCTCACTGAGTTCGTTCATTCGTTCTTTCTTTCTTTCTTTCATTTTTTTTTTTTTTTGGAGAGGCAGAGTTAGACAGTGAGAGAGAGAGACAGAGAGAAAGGTCTTCTTTCCATTGGTTCACCGCCCAAAAGGCCACTACGGCCGGCATGCTGCGCTAATCCAAAGTCAGGAGCCAGGTGCTTCCTCCTGGTCTCCCATGTGGGTGCCGGGCCCAAGCACTTGGGCCATCCTCCACTGCCTTCCCGGGCCACAACAGAGAGCTAGATTAGAAGAGGAGCAACTGGGACAGAATCTGGCGCCCCAACCGGGACTAGAACCCAGGGTGCTGGCGCCGCTGGCGGAGCATTAGCCTAGTGAGCTGCAGCGCTGGCCACTCAGTACTTTCTTTAACAATGTTTGTCACCAGGGATAATCAGGGATAGCATTTGACTACTGTCATTGAGATGGCATTCAGAGTGTGATGAAATATTCAGTTGGTTGAAAAAATATCAGAAGACTGAGCACTGATCCTTGTGTTTAGTATGTGTAGAGAGCCACATGTAGAATCTGGTTCTTTCTTAATGAAATAGCTCTGTTGTGTGCGTAGTTCATTAATAGGACAGATCCACTCTACTGCAAGTGTACTGTCATTTACTGTCTGTTGATTGCTAGAATATCTTCAAGAGTGTAAGTGCTTGTGCTGTACCAGTCTTGCTATCCTCTTGCTTATCCTTCACAGCACAGTCAGGGAGATCTTTTAACAGATGAAAAACTTACTTTTTCAGTTTTGGGGTTGAATTCTTTAGTGTGTTCCGATTTTACTCTACGTAAAGTATAGGTCTTTATCATGCAATGAGGATGCAAGAGCACTTATATCAAAGTGACAAGTGTGAAAACCTATTCTTCTTTTCATCACACACCCCTTTCTCTTCCTTTCCGTCTGCACTGTTCCCCTAAGCACCAAGCAGAGTCACAGCACCCCTTCCCCTCTGTTTTTCCATACCTGCACTTATGCTCTGAATTGAGCTCAGGGCCAGCAGGGCCACTGCGAGCAGGGTCAGCAGCATCTTGGAGGAGTCTCTGGAGCGGCTCCCAAGTGTGTGCTGGGAGACTTGGGGCAGCTCCCTTTATACAGAGGAGCAGAACAAGGGCATCTTTGAGCTCCACAATGGGTGCACCTCCCCTCCCGACGTAACAGGCTAACTCTGCTCACATCCCGTCATCCATATCCCTTACTTCTCTTTTGGATCAGAGCCCAGCAGGATGGGGTTGGGTGGAGGATGTCAGTGTTTAAGGTTTAAAAGGTACAACTTGTGACCTGGGCAAAGTTTTTCAGACACAGGGTCCAAACACTCAGCATCCAGATTACAACTGAACTTTGGTCATCATTTGATGTTCAGTATGTCCTGTGAGACCATGACACTGTCTTTCCTTTGTTTTGTGTATGTGTCTCTTGGTACATGTTGGCAGGAATTCTACAGGCAGAAGGAAAGTGATCGATACTTTCGGCTATTGTCATAATTCTGTCACTGAGGAAATGTGTGTCATATTTAGCTAATTTTAAGGTCATTTTTATTTTATTCTGCAATGTCTGAGGACAAGGCTGTTGGTCACACATGGTGATAATTTGTTTTTAAGATGTTATTTATTTATTTTTGAGAGGTAGAGGTACAGACAGTGAGAGGGAGGGATAGAGGGGTCTTCCATCTGCTGGTTCACTCCCGAAAAGGCCACAATGGCCAGAGCTGCGCTGATCGGAAGCCAGGAGTCAGGATCCAGGAGCACTTCTGGGTGTCCCATGTGGTTGCAGGGTCCTAAGCACTTGGGCCATCTTCTGGTGTCTTCGCAGGCATAGCAGAGAGCTGGATTGGAGAGGAGCAGCCAGGACTATAACCAGTATCCTTATGAGATGCTGGTGCCAAAGGTGTGGATCAACCTACTGTGCCACAGCACTGGCCCCAGTGACAGGTTTTGATGATTCTGTGGTTCTGTCCCTGTGTATGGAACGTGGGTATTGCAGAACTCAGGAGGCCTAGAACATTTTGTTGTTCTTAACATATATAAGGTTTATTAAAGCAAAAGGGGCACTGAAACACTGGGATGTCTTCAGTAGCCTGAAATGAAAGCAGGATTCCTCGCTTGAACTGTGGTATTTCATGTTCCTTGTACATATTTGATGCTGCTCCTTTTTGTAGAATCCTGTGTAATCATGGGTTGGGTCTTATGTCTTCTTGAGAATAGGTTTCTCTCTCACTGATAGCTTTCATGTCCTCCAGATGCTTAATTTTATTAGACTCCCCTATTTTCCTGTCCTCTTTTTCCTAAGGTTTCCTGAATCCGTACTGTTTTCTCTGTCATACACTAATGGTCATTATTAGTCTTTTTTTTTTACAGATTTTATTTATTTATTTTAGAGGTAGAGTTATAGATGGAGAGAGAGAGAGAGAGAGAGAGAGAGAGAGAGAGGCCTTCCTTCCATTGGTTCACTGCCCAGATGGCCACAACAGCTGGTGCTGCACCAATCTGAAGCTAGGAGCCAGGTGCTTCTTCCCGATCTCCCATGAGGATTCAGGGTCCCAAGCTCTTGGGCCATCTTCTGCTGCTTTCCCAGGCCATAGTAGAGGGCTGGATTGGAAGAGGGGCAGCAGGGACTAGAACCGGCACCTGTATGGGATGCCGGCACCCCAGGTGGAGGATTAACCTACTGTGCCCTGGCGCCAGCCCCAATGGTCATTACTCTTCATGTTCCTGAAACTTATTGATTATTATATTCTGTTCAGAGCAATTCTCTCCATTTTTATTTTTCCTGGTTCCAGCTTTTGAGTTTTCACATTCTTTTGGTGTAATTCCCTCATTTAATCCTCTAAAGTAGAAACTATCTGCCTCTTCATAATCCTTTTGCCATTTTTTAAAAAGTGTTTTAAATTTTATTTATTTGAAAGACAGAGTTACAGTGAGAGGTAGAGACAGAGAGAGAGAGAGATCTTCCATCTGCTGGTTCACTCACCAGAAGGTCGCAATGGACGGAGCTGTGCCAATCCGAAGCCAGGAGCCGGTAGCTTCTTCCAGGTCTCCCACGCGGGTGCAGGGGCCCAAGGACTTGGGCCACCTTCTACTGTTATTCCAGGCCACAGTAGAGAGCTGGATTGGAAGAGGAGCAGCCAAGACTAGAACTGGAGCCCATAGGGGATGCCGGTGCTTCAGGCCAGGGCATTAACCCACTGCAGCACAACGCTGGCCCCTACCATTTTTGTTTTTTAAAACCATTGGCAATGGGGTGTTAGGTTTCTCAGCAACTTTTTCCTCGTATTTGCATTGGTTGCTGCTCTCAGCTGCTAATTTTCTGTGATGTGTAATTTTTGTCTATTCACGCTGGTTATCACTGGTCTATAGGAGTCAGTATCACCAGCTACCACTGAGCATTTTTGACTTTGTAAAGTTCTGTGTCCTTGTTAAGTTGTTTGTGCAAATAAGTGGATGTGTGAGGACTGTGTTTTTCTAAGTATGGCAGCATAGTCATGAGGCTGGAAATTCTAGGGATCAGTTCTTAGACCAGTAGGGCTGCTGGGATCTTATGCTGTATATAGGACAGTGGGGTCTGCCTAATTATCTGAACTAGTGTAGATAATATTACAGGATGGTCTTCTGATGCGATGTGGCTGACTGTGGACACCTTTAATCCTAGAATGTGATGAGATAGAAAAATGGCATTTTCTCAGGCATGGTTACTGATGTTCTCTGATGTTGGCCAATTTCCCTTTAATTGGTGTGTGGAAATCAAC